GATGCCCACTGAAGCTGGTCAAATAAATCGTCGATCATCGGTAGTGGATAATGGTTCTTCACTGTTAGCTTATTCAATTCCTGGTAGTCGATACACATATGATACGACCCATCCTTATTATTCACAAAAAATATCGATGCTCCCCATGGTGAATTACTCGACCACATGAACCCCTTTTCCAACAGCTCCTACAGTTGGGTGGACAACTCCTGCATATCTGGAGGTACTAACTAATAAGGTGTCTTGGCTATTGGAGCGGTACCTAGAACCAAGTCAATCTGAAACTCCACCTATCTCTCCGGAGGCACTCCAAGAAAATCCTCCATAAAAACATTCGGGTATACCCGAACAATCAACACATCATCCGTAGTCACCATATCCTTCTCACGGGTATCCATCACATAGGCCACAAACTCGAAACATCCCTATTAAAGATAAATCTTGGCCCTCACTGTTGAACGGAGATTTGGCCCATGATGAGCACCTTGACTATGGATAACTAACTATCCCTTACTTGGGGTCTGAACATGAACCAACTGAAGCCTACAATCAATCATCTCCCCAATAGGTCTTAACCAATCCATCCCCACATGACCTTGTTCTCGTGTTGGGGAGTAGAAACTAAATTATTCGGGTACTTGTAACATCCCAAGACCAGGTATACCTTATAAATCCTTTTTCTTTTGGTAATTGTCAAGTTTGGCCCTTTATTTGAGAAAATGTGGTAAATGAGTACGCGGGGTGTACGCGTGTGTACGCTCAGTGTACTCATGTGCATGTTTTTGACGTGGAAGCCACCTAATATATTGGGCGTACCAGAGGGTACGTTGGGCGTACTAGGCCCAGAGTGAAAATCCTAATTAAGGGTGTATCCCTATTTAAAGGACATGATGGCATCATTTATGGCCACCATTCCCAGATATCAACCCTCTCAAACCCTAATTTCTCGTCCCTTGAGCTTGTGTGTCAATTTGTGAGCTATTAAGTGTTCTTGTGGTTTCTTTGGAGTTAAGAAGGAGCTTTGAAGAGGAAGGAGTGGGAGTCCAGGCTTTGGATATGAGCTTATCTAGTTGTTAGAGCTTCAGTTAGAGGTATAAAGCTCAAAGCTTTCTCACCCCTTTTGATTTGTGCATCATTTTAGTTCATTTTGGGGTTTCGGTCCCAAAGTTGGATGCGTTATGAGCTATTGATCTCCAGAGTTTATTATCAGCTCCTTTGAGTGTTTTTAGTGGTGTAGAATCATAAAAATTGATACTTGGACATTTAAACCAACCCATGCATGAAATATGAGCATTCTTGAGAATAGAGAGTGATAGTTTTGGTGTTTGTGACTTTTTCAGCCATGCAAAGGCTTAGAGTCACAGACTTTATGGAGTATGAGCCTTTAGGGAGTCCAGATCTGAGATTTGAGCTAAGGTCTTAACAGATTAAGACCAAATGAGTAGGAAGAGCAAATCTGGGGTGTACATTGAGCGTAATCCCTATACGCACAATGTAGGGTCGAGAATCCCCGATGCATGCATGGTGAAGGAGTATGCCCAATGTAGAGGACTTGTACACGTAACGTATGCGTTGCCGTTGACTTTTAGTTAACTTTTAGGGTTTGGTCAATTTGTGGACTATTAAAGACATGTAAGGGTAAAATGGTCTTTTATCCTTCTATAAGTTCGTAGCAGGGTTTAGTCTAGCTTCTTTGAGAGCCCTTATTAATTAGAGATAATGATCGTATGTGTTAGGCGGAGGCTAGACCGGTGATTTGAGTTCGAGGTTATCCGATTTCTTACAAGGTGAGTCTTCTCACTATACTTACCCAGAGTGGTAACTTTGTGTGTGGTCGGAGGGTCTTATGTGTTTATATTGAGTATTGCGATATCCTGCATTATGTCTTTGCGATTTATATTGTGTATTATTCTGAGCTTACTGACTTAGGACCGGAGGGTCCACCCAAGTTGTGGGACTGGACGGTTCCACCGAGACGCATTAACTGGAGGGTCTTATTTGAGTATAGCCATGAGAGGCTAATGAGTTATGTGTGGTATTTTAGGGAACTCACTAAGCTTCGTGCTTACCGTGTTGTGGGTTATGTGTTTCTGGTACTTCTCAGGATCACGAGAAGGCATCGGCTTGATTGTACACATACAAGTTGGAGATACATTTTGGAGGATCCCAGATTGTGTTTTAAACAATTTATGAGCATGTGTTTTGATAAATAGATATTGGGGGGGGGGGGGGGTTGTGATTGTGATAATGAAATTAATGTGATTTTTAAATGAAAATTTTGTTTAGAAATTTACAGTGTTATAGTACTGCTCATTGAATAACTCCAAAGTACATCCCCAATGAACCCTCGACACTCACACCGAACAGTCGTTGACAATCTCCACCTCTAACGGATAATCCTACTCCCTTGCAACATCTTCAAACCTCTTCTTAAGCATAAGAAATACAAAGGATCGGGTAGCACCCAAAGCAACAAAACCAACGTAGGAATACCATCCACAAGGAACGAACCTAAACAACAACACAAAATTATAAGCATGATAAACAACATAAATACAAATATAAGGAAAAGGTATATACCGATTACCATATTAGGTGTTGCACGAGCATCATCTTTTGTCAGCGGAAATGCTCTGCACCTTATAACTAGTCCCTCCACCTTGCCCTAGCAGCCATCAGTGATCCTCAGAGTCACCAAAGGAGGTGCTGTGGTACTACAACTACTAAAATTAGGCAATTGGACTTCTTATGGCCACTCTAATTGCAATAGAAACAAATCAGATCAGATACCTCAATGACGGTAGTGGTAGTACAATCCCTACCAAAGTGCCCTATCTTGCCACACTTATAGCAACCGAACCACCCGCCCGGCAGACTCCGTCATGTGTCTTGCCGTACTTGCCACAGTAACCCCGACATGCTGGCCCTCGATATAGAATCAAAACCCTTGGGTTCTTTCCTGAAATCCCATGCGTCTGCCAGTGCTCTGCCTTCCTGTTCCCTATATGCTCCAAATCAATTTCTTGTTCCCGGGCCTAGATATCATGTCATCCAGTGTCGGACAAGCGGAAAAACTAACAAACTCCTCGATGTCTGAACTCCGCTGCGATCTCAGTTGTCTGTCGCATATCAAGGAATTCTATCGCCAGGTGTTGCACCTCAACTGCCGGTGCAAAATCGGCTCGGAACCGGGTCACAAAATCCGACCAGGTCATGGCCTCACTGGCTGGGGCTCCCAGAGCATAACCGACCTCCTCCCACCAATCCCATGCTCGCTCTCTCAGACAGCCTGCAACGAACCTCACCTTCGACCCCTCGGAGCAGAAGCTAGTTGAGCACACTAAATATCTAATATCCATCATATGGCAAAAATGGGATCCTCTACCCTAAAGAATTATGGAACTCTACATCCCATGAAATCCTTGAAGAAGAGAGTGCAGGCTCTATACTGACTAGCAATCAGATCAGCCCTAAAGATCATGAGACGATCTTGCATCAACTTAATTATACCATCCATGATTGACCCAAACATCATCGGGGTTGCATCAAGGATGCCTCTCATAATCTCAAATGCGATGAAATCACACAAACCCTTATCAATTGGTTCGGTGCCCGATCTAGAACTAGATCTAGATCCTGAACCACCTGCTCCACCGCGTGTCACCACCATGCTAAAACATAATACATAAAAAATTAGCAAACACACGAAAAGGTTCACACTTCCAAATTTTCTTGAATTCATCAAGTCTTTCCTTGTATTGGGTATAGATCCTATGAGTCCAGTAGTACGGGCCCAATACTACCTTCCACACCTATCTATACCTTCCCCAATGACTATCTCGAATCCTCCAAGTCACTTCCTTACTATCTATTACTTCAATTATAGTATAGATCACCATATGCAACAATAAGTATCCTAGGCTTTCCATAGGGTTGCTTTCCACTCCATTCTACACTATCAACTCCAGAAGGAACTCCCTCTAATACCATCCAACTACTACATGATTACAATTACATATTATCAGTACTAAATTTAAGCCTAACATTCTAAAATTATCTAATCTAAACATTATGGTTGGAGTCAAACAAGATTTGTGCAATAAAGTTAAGCCTAACATTCTAAAATTATCTAATCTAAACATTATGTAACCAAGTGCATTCATCTACTAATTAGCTTGTAAGTCCCAAATCTTATGGATCCAAATCAGTAATCAATAAATTAATAACAATCAAAATAGAGTGTAGAAGGAGTATAAGAGAAATAACATCAAGCATGCCCACATCTATTGCTCATAAATGTCAGGTACACCTTGAAAGTACACACACATACATCACTGTTCATTAGTGCGTCCGACACAGTGGCAGCCCCTTTAAATACTACCCACACCAGCACACATGTGTGCAGCAATACACACATGTGCAGTCGCATACAGTGTGTGCGGCCACACACACGTGTGTAACCGGACACACGTGTGTGGCTGCACATACACATAGTCTAAACCATAGCACCACTACACTACATGCACTACCAACCTACCAAGATCTATACAGGAAGAATGCCTAGCCCAAACCACAATAAGATAGTCTTTCAATCTCCCCCTTGGTTTGAGGCTAGCATAAACATGATCTTCAGTCTGTTGGCTTTCAAACAACTTCAAATCAGACTTTCCCATGGAGCCCATCCACAGTCTTCCATTTATGATCGTGGTGACCATTCCAGTGAACTCTTTTGCAGCCGCCTCCATGACATCCTTTCTACATATAATCTGGTGACGAGATAGAGTGTGGATATCCCTTTCCCTGAACCTTAGAAGATCTTTAGGAATTATCAGCCTTAAGACTTGTTCTCTATCCTTGAATTTTATGGTAGCAATGGCAGTTTCGTCGTCGTATGCCCAGAATTCCATATTGTCAAGGTATACCTCATGAAAGTGTTGAGGGATAGGAATTTCCTTCTGCTGTTTAGTTGCAGGCCAAAGGATAATCTTCATGGGCTCGCCTTATTGAGGATCCAAAATTTCTTTATCTTTTCTATATAAGGCTCTTGCAGTCTTCATTCTTGGAAAGTTTTCCTTGACATGTCTGTCAAGAAAGCTTTTGAAACTTGTTGCGTTGTGATCTTCAGAGGGATTATGGAATGGACCTCTCAAAAGTTCAACAAAGTCCACTTTATTCCATGAGTTAAAATCATGCATGCTTTTGTAATATTCAGGAATTCCTGAGTTCCTTTTCAAAATCCACATGTTTGACTTGGGATCGAACGCCCACATTTTGATTCCAGATCTGTCACCGTACTCGTCACCAAATTTTCTCTTTTTGAGATCAGTCATTGTTAGCACAGGGTATTTGGCTTTGCAATTCTCGTTTGAATTTTTCATGAAGAGTAACCCTTCGCTTTCGTTAGCTGTATCAGTCTTATTTCCTTGTTTGATTGTGATGCGGGCTCTGCTGGCTTCAGGTTCCTTTTCAAATCTATCGACAATTGTAGTTGTTCTAGGAAGAGGTGGATCAACTGGAAGGTCTCCTGAAGTAGATTGTGTGGGGGCCATAGGAGGATCCTCAATTCCATGTGGCTGCTGAAATAACGCTTTAAATTTATCCCCGAAAGCATCATACAGAACGTTCTTCAAATTAAAGTAGAAAGCAGTCACAGATCCAAGATTCGTCTGTGGATCCTCAATCTGTTTTGACTTCTCTTCATCCCTTTCTTTAAGCTCTTCTAAGTGAGAAGCGAGTTGTTCCAATTGAATGTTCTTTTCAATAAGTTCTTGCCTAAGAACACCAATCTCTTCTTGAAGTTCTGACACAGTAGACTTGTCATCACCTGAATGCTCTTCTCTGAAAGATATACCTTTGCCACGAGAAGAAGAGGTTGGACTGTGTTGATCAAGGTGCTTAGCCAATCTGATTGAGGCTTCATCCAGTGAGGGTCTTGTAGGAGAATATTCTGGAATGGAGTATGAACCACCTGTCTCAAACATTATGCTAGGGCCTTCATCTGATTGTATTGGTGGAGTGAAAACAGTAGTAGTGATAACAGTGGATATGACCTGAGGTGCATGGCTGACAATGGGCACCTCCAGACTCGTATTTGATTGACTTCTTTCCAAGGAAGACTGGGAGGCTTGCAGCTGAGATGATTCAACAACAAACGGAGCAAAAGTAGAGATAGCTGAAATAGAGGGAGGAATCTTTGAATTCACATGTCTTTGACTTGAAGAAATCTCTAAAGGCTTGCAAGAGGAGAGAAAAATATTGAGAACATTATTGTCTTCCCCAGTCTTGGTTGCTGAAGAAGCAACTTCATTGACCTTTCTAAAACGGTCGCTATCAAACCCCAGAAATGGACCATACTCGTCATCGTCAAGATCGAGTTCGATGTTTGTAGGGCTATCATCACTGATCCTGGTGAAGTCTATCTCTTTCAAAAAATCTACATCTTCATTAAAACCCTCATGACTTTCTCCATGGATAGATTGTGTTTCAACTTCCACATTGTGTAGACGATCATGTTCCTCAGTCACCATAGCTATAGGAGAAACATGAACCTCTTCAATCTCCGACTCAGAAGTTGAAATCACAACATCTTCAGTCTATGTTGGAATAGATTGATTTTCTGAGTCTGACTGATCACTATCTTCAAAAATTCCAAATTTTATTAAGGGAAATTTCCCTTCAAAAACAAACTTTCCTCCTCTTTTCTGCTTCATTAAACCGAAGGAACTTGGACCGACAGATTTAAGATACAATGTCTCATTTCCTCTTTGAAGCTCAAGATGCATGACGTTGAAAATAATCTAAAGAAATCTTGGGTACATAAAAAACTTGTCTCTCTTGTTTCCTTCAATATTCAGAACCAGTCCGTGCAGGATAAACTTTGAAAAATTAAACTCAAATCCCGAAGCCAAAGCTGTGATGGCTCCTGTGTTGACTAGAGATATTTCGTTCACACCATATCTCCTACGAGAAATACAGCTCACAAATACATGAGCTAAATATTTCCAGCAGGGAGGAAGCAGTTTATTGATGGTAGGAGGAAATGTTCCCTCATACCCATGTGGTCTAGAACTTCTTGAGTTTGATACACATCAATTTCGATTGAATATATTGCTTTTGTCATCAATTTGAAGTGATTCTCGAATAATACTTTCTGAAACTTGAATCTTCTTTCCTTGAATAGTGGCTTTAAGGTACTTTTTGTCTTTGTCATCTTTCTTCACGACTGCACTTCTCCAGAAATCTTTGATGAAATTCTGATAAATTGTCGAGCTGGTTGTTAAATCATGAACCAGATAACATTTCTTCAGACCTTCAACAATGAATTTTAGATCTTTGTGAGCTGCTGGCGGAGTTTCAAGAAAGATAGCTGAGTTGTGAACTTTTGCGAATTCTAGATTTCCCCTTTTTAATCTAAAAAGAAACACATGCATACATTAGGGTAGAAATAATTTTGACCATACTTATTTCAACTATTCATGATTGGTCACACACAATGAAGTGTGCAGCCTCACATGATAAAGTATGCAACCGCACACGTGGATGTGAGCAGCTGCACATAAGATCTAGTACACAAGGAGTGTGTGCAGCCGCACACGTCACTAGCCGGACACCAGTAAGTGTGTAGCTGCACACAATCCAACAGCACTCGCCGTGTGCGGTCGCACACACAGTCGAAAAACGTATTCCTCGATTAACCACCAGTTCATGATCGATTCGCCGTATGGGTGTCGTTTTTGTAGTTTTTACCGTTATGCAGCTTTAATTTCAAGAAAAGCGATGAATTTTGTGGTTTTTAGACAAAGAGAGAGAGTATAAAGCCGTGTGCGGTTGAAGCAATTTAAAACGATAAATAATGGCAACAAAAAGGGACCACACACGCTTATATATACCTTCATATTTTGGGCTACCCTTCCTTTCCTTTTTAATATTCAAAATTCCAAGCCCAATACTCCAACATTTTTCAAAAATAAACCACTTTGAGGATTAAAATAAAATAAATATAATTTTTATCATTAAAAAAAACAAAAAAATATAAAATATAAAATAAAAGGATAATAATAATAAAAATTTAATTCTAAACTAACTTTAATCCACTATCAAAAAAATTTGATTAACCTTTTGTGATGTGGGATCAAAGTTGTTAGACAATCGTTTTCAATTTATCAGTACCTCCCCTTTTATGAATAGATCTGGCTGATCGCCGGTATTGTGGTCCAATTAAGCACGAAAAGTTGTGGCAAATTTTGGACATGCTATAAGTGATAAGACAAGTTGATCCTATGTTCCTAGATAAATCTTCTTAAGGACCATTCATCTGACGACGACCAAGGATATTGTTGTCCACCTAAGTTGAGCAGCGAGATCTACAGACAATCTAGAATTGTTCAATTTTAGATGTACTAGAACATGTTTCCCGCTTCCTGATATACCTCAATAATCAAGAACTTCCGAGATACTCCTTACTTTAGGTGACCAGACTATTATTCATTGAGAGGATAGATTCAGATTAGTATTAATTATAGTTTTTAGAGGCATTGAGAAGTAGAAAGTTGCATATGTTGTGTACGAGGTTGGATTGTTAATCACACAAAGGAGACAACATATGGTTAACAGATAAGAAGATTTTCATAGATATAATATGCAGAGAAATAGATTTGCATATGTTGCAGTCCAGGTCGGATCTCTTCCAATCATGTAAAGGAGACAACATATGACTAACAGTAAGAAAGAAAGAAAATAATTTTCTACATATCTACTTTATCGAAATTCCCCAGTCTCTCCATCAATACCGAAATTAAGGACAGAATCCGTACATCGAGGAAAAGTAAAACCACAGTTCTAGATACGGGTTCTTTAATGTGATTGGTGGATTCTCATGTATATCTCTCTACTCAACCAATCCAAGCGTCGTATTTTCGGGCTAAACGAATCTATCTAGGTCAAGATTTGTCAAGTCATTTGATTTCTTAGGTTCATATTTGCCTAGTCAAGTCCATTAAATTTTTGTTGCCTACCAGCGCATCAAACACAGAGCCTAGACAGTTCAGCTTTGGTACTTTACACAGATTCAGATTGTCTGTTATCACCTTTTGATATCACTTCCCAATACATATTATTGAGCACAAATATTTTGATTTTTTTGTTTTTCTAATGTTTTTGGATTTTTGATTTTTGAGTTTTGAATGTTTTTGGATTTTTGATTTTTTAATGTTTTTGGATTTTTGATTTTTGATTTTTTTTAAATGTTTTTTGATTTTTGTCCCCCTAAATTTGTGCATACACTAGAGAGAAAAAAATATGCACAAATTTAAACTAAACTAAACAATAAAAAATTAATCCTCAAAGCGAATCATTTTCAGAAAATTAACCAGCACATCGAATCGAGCTTTGTTAAATGGCTTGGTGAACAGATCCACTACATTATTATCAGAGCGGACCTGTTCTAGCCGAATGAGCGAGCGCTCAAAACATTCTCTGATGAAATGAATTTTGATGTTGATGTGCTTGGTTTTTGAGTGCTGGACCTGATTTTTGGTAATTTGGATCGCAACCTCATTATCACAGAATATAGGGGTTTCTTGAAAATTCAAACCGTAGTCCAATAGCTCATTTTGGATCCATATCACTTGAAAATAATAGGTAGACGTAGCGACATACTCTGCTTCTGCTATTGAGGTTGAGATGGTATGCTGCTTCTTGCACTACCATTAGACCAGTCTATCTCCCAAAAATTAGCATCCTCCTGAAGTTGATTTTCTATCAAGCTCGCAACCGCCATAGTTGATGTCTGCAAAAGCATAAAGGTCAAATTCTAGAATTTTCGGATCCCAAAGACCAAGTTTTGGGCAACCTTCGAGGTACCGAAAAATCCATTTAACAACAATTGGATGAGAAAGTTTAGGATTAGCCTGGTAGCGAGCGCATTGACAGACCGCAAACATTACGTCTGGGCGACTAACAGTCAGATACATGAGTGATCTAATCATTGATCGATAGTACATCTGATCTACGGATTCACCTTCAAGATCAGGAGCCAGTAAAGGTCTCTGCGCCATGGGTGTAAGAGCATGTTTCGGATCTCGGAACCCAAACTTCTCTAGCACATCATCCACATACTTTGCTTGGTGAATAAGGATTCCAATTGAAGATTGTTGGACCTGAAGCCCAAAAAATGTGGTCATTGCCCCAAGCGAACTCATCTCGAACCGCTACTTCATCACGTCTTCGAACACATCGCAAAGCTGTTGGCTTGTCGACCCGAATATAATGTCGTCCACATAGATTTGAACAAGAATTTGATCCGGACCGACATGTTTGATAAATAAGGTTTGATCAATGGTGCCTCAAGAATAGCCATGTTTGAGCAAATGTTGTGTTAGGGTAGCATACCAAGCTCTAGGAGCTTAATGTAGCCCATACAAAGCTTTGTCTAACTTGTAGACATGGTTAGGAAGCTTTGAGTTAACGAAATCGGGTGGTTGGTCAACATAAATCTCCTCCTTGACCTTGCCATACATGAAAGCCGTCTTGACATCCATTTGGTATACTGGAAAGTTCATATAGGAAGCATATGCGAGTAAGATACAAATAGCCTCCAAGCACGCCACCGGTGCATAAGCCTCCGTATAATCAAGACCCTCAATTTGCCGAAACCCGCGAACCACTAATCTAGCCTTGTTACGCACAATAACACATGAATCGTCTTTCTTGTTCCGAAAGACCCATCTGGTATGAAGAGATTTCTTTCCTTTTGGCAGTTCCACCAACTTCCAAACCCTGAGCTTCTCGAATTAATTAAGTTCGGTATGCATGTCGTCAACCCAGTTGGGCTCATTCAGAGCCATTTCGACATTTTTGGGCTCTATCTGAGAGATGAAGCAAGAGTAGAGACACGTTTTAACGTCTCCACTCTGACTTCGTGTTTGAACACTGTCGCCAATCTGTCCAATGGCGTTCTCTACTGGATGGTCGCACTGAATGCATGCAGGGATCTTGTAGATGATGTCATTGATAGAGACTGGAAGATTATGGATGTTAACCGATCTGTCATTTGATGTATGATCCACGATAGATGAACTAGGTTCGTTTCTCGGGTCTGCTACAAATTCTTTAGCAATTCTTTCAGGAAAGAGAAGTTCCATCGGATTTGAAGTTACAGCGGAAGTCTCTTGGTTCATGAACTCTCTTTCCACCGAAGTTAGAGGAGTAACAACAACATCAGGAGAAAGTAGTGGAGGAGAGGACTCAGAAGAATCAATTTGAACGGAAGGCACCATTGGAGGATCAGAAGAAATCAGTGGTGGTCTGTAGACAACTTCTTCCTCTTCGTCTTCAATATTGATCTTCGAACTAGACGTAGGCTTTGCTTGATTATCCGACGACACATTGAATGATTTGAAAAGAGATGTGTAATCGAATAGCCAATCTGGATCCCCTGTAGCATCTATCTCATTCTCTTCAAGCCAACGAACATCGAAAGACTCTACAATATGTTTTATCTTCTTTTTATAAACCCTGTATGCAGTACGAGCAGTGTATCCAACAACATAATAGTCATCAGCTTTTGCATTGAATTTGGGGTTGGATTCCACGTGAAAAAGGGTTCAAGGGCAACCGAATACTCAGACATGGCTGACAGATGGCTTGTGTCTGTATAGAATTTCGTACGGTGTTTTCATTTTGGCTTTGTTGATCAGCACACGATTCTGAACGTAGCATGTCGTGTTAATTGCCTTCGCCCAAAAGAACACAGGAAGTTTAGAGTCACAAAGCATTGTCCTTGCGGCGTCTTTAAGAGTTCGATTCCTCCATTCGACAACACCATTTTGTTGTCGTGTGTGAGCAAAACTGAATTGACGCACAATCCCTTTTTCGGCACAAAAATGGTCAAGAAAATCGTTCTTGAACTCTATTCCATTATCAGTACGCAGTGCTTTCACTCGGTTGTTGGTTTGATTCTCGATCATCACAATGAACTTTTTGATGAGGTCAGCGATCCCATATTCGTTGGACAGAAATAAAACCAAGTAACCGAGAGTAGTCGTCCTCTCACAACAAGGTAGTATGAGTTGCTATTGATGTTGAGAACATTAACCGGACCAAATAAATCCATATGTAATAACTCGAGCACATGACTAATGGAGTTGATCTGCTTTGGAAAGTGTGGTTTCCGATGATGTTTTCCTTGAGCATAGGAAACACATTTTTCAAATGTAATGAAATCTCTAACAGGTAAACCTCAGACCAGTTCGTTCTTTGCAAGCCGATTCAGGCTCTTTGCGTTAGTGTGACCTAGACGACAATGCCACAACATCATATTTTGTTTTGAGACTTTGGAGAATAAGAAGTGACTTCGTCGGGGATATTACTGTTCATGTCTATGATGTAGGCATTCCCATCCCTCTTAGATTGTACAAGAATCCACTCTTCC